CCAGGTTGGTTTGCACACTGCGCTGTCTTGGAAGGTCGCAGAGAGGTGGGGAGCCAGGTTGGTTTGCACACTGCGCTGTCTTGGAAGGTCGCAGGGACTGAGCTCTGGTGGAGCGGACCGATGGAATCCCTTAGCTTTGGGGGCTGTCGGGGGTCAGGAAAAATAAGGGAGATGCTTCATGAGAAGAACAGATGCAGCACCCTCCAGGCCAGACACAGACAGACAGACCAATGGTCCTGAGGAGGGGGCCGGGATGGGCTGCGTCTTGTTCTGTGAGCTACAAGGGTGAAGAGAGTCAAGGCTGACTCAGGAGCAGCTAACAGTGGAAGCCAGGTTTGGGAATGGTGTTTCCGTGGGAGAAACACCCCCCAAATGTTTACTTTGCTGCCTGGGGGGCTGTGTCCCCCCCCCCTCGCCTCTCCTCCCCCACCCTCAAAGAAACGTGTCCTAAGCTTTAGGGAGCAAATTGCAAAGTTGTCATGGTCTCGTTTCTTGGAGGGTGGGGCATGGGAGTGTGCTTCCAATGTTAAGTTTGTGTTCTGCGCTTATCAACTTGGTCAAAGGTCTTGCACGTCTGCTTGGATTCTAGCTCAGATCTTGGCATTCGCTTTGAGGCCAAGAGCTATGGAAGCCCCTTTGACAGATGCAGAAACCCGAGGCTCAGAGCAGAACATGCCTAGTCCAGGGTCACACAGGAAACCAATGGAGGGGGACATAAGCATGGCTGGAACCAGGACCTAGGCTTCCCAGCTGTGAGCCCAGGACTCTGCCTGCATCTGGTACTGCCAGGGGCGTGATGGGAAACCCCTGGCACGGAACCAGGATCTTGGCGGGCAGAACAGAGCTGAGTGCCGTCCAGGGTGGGCAGCAGCAGGCGGTGAGTTAGCTGCTACATCCTCGGGAGCAGGTGTGGGTGAAGATGTTGTTGTTACACCCATCCTGCAGCTTGTCTCGGGGCTGGCTACCCGCTCGATCATCGGGGTCCGAGAGCTGGCCATTCTGACCCAGGTGCCGCCTCAGCCTGCAAGCAAGCACAGATCACAGGTATGAGTTAGTGACTGACCCAGGGCGGGGGCCATGGGAAACACCAGATGCCCAGGGTGCAGTCGGAGGTGGGGAGAGACAGCGGGGCACCCAGGGTTCAGTGGGAGACAGGGAGACACCAGGTACCCAGGGTGCAGTGGGAGATGGGGAGAGTCACCGGGGCACCCAGGGTGCAGTGGGAGA